GATGTCACAGTGGAACCGCAGCGCAGCTGTGGAAAGATCGACCACCAGGGAGATCCGTGTTTCTCTGTCTCATTTAGAGGCAGCTAAACTGCTGGAGCCATGAATGGAAGATGCCCTTCCATTAAAAAGGGAAGAATTAAAGAATAAACCAAGTCATAGCAGCTGTCAGAATTTGACAACGGCTTAAAAAAGGAAGGAAAAAAAAAAAAAAGCACTGCTCTGCTTTAAAAAAAAAAAACAAAACAAAACTCAAGACATCTGTACGTGCGTGTTCGGATACTTGTTGCCATGAAAGTGATGCCACTATTCTTGCGACGTAACTTCTTTATTCCTCTCGGTTCCATCTTCATTATTATGCTAATGCAAATCACACTAATTATGTGTCAAGCTGAAATCCAAGGGACGGACTCGTCTGTACCTATATAGCACTAAATATTTGAAATGACGGTTTCAAAACTTGTCATCAACAAGTTGAAAGTACGGGAAATTAAAACAGTTATAATGACTCGGATGAAAGGAAAACTTACAATTGAGATTACTAATTAAGCCGTGTCAATGGAAATTCTTTACGAAAATTATTCTTTGCACCATGACAATCATTTCTTAGAGAACACAGTCCCACAGGGATAGCAATGAAAAGATTTTTGGCAGATTGTGCGACTTCATTCATAAAAGGCGAAAATGTAGAAAAGAAGTATTTTTAGCCTTCCTCCAATGGTTCTACCCAGAGAGAAGAGCGATTGTTTTGATAACATTATGGTTTTATTTGTGGAGACAAAGAATAGCCTCTTGGAAGATGCAAAATGTTAACTGCTCATGGAAAGAAAACCTGAAAACTGACAGAAAGAGAAAGGCAAAGAAATTTTTTAGAACTTAAAAAAAACCAATGTTTTTTAGAGTTCAGCTCCATTATATACATTTCATTTATTTTTACGTATTACAGTTTGGTGACTGTCGCCTCAGTTGTGGCCAGATTATAAACCAGCTATTGTGTCAGAGCCACAATGCCCCTGTACCCGCACAGGCAGGCGGAGTCTCCATCGATTACAAATTTTAATGACTTTTTACTTCCTTATCTATAAGGTATTTCCTCTTGCCCCTGCCCGGGGAGCGCCTGTAAACTGGAAGGGCAGGTGGATGGCCTTTTGGAGCTGCTCCTTCTGGAAGCAGAGGTATCACTAACCCAGAGCCCAGAAGGAGGCAGAGAGCCCTGGATTCTTCCTCAGGGCCATGGTGTAGACGACTTTAATGTTCATCCAGTGTGAGATACGGTGGACCGTAGTTATAAATACGCCAAAAGCCCCAAATGGAGATGTGAATTGGTTGTTTTGCCAACACAGTAGGAAACCAAACGATTTATTTCACAACTTCTGAAAATTTTTAAACCAAGACTCAGAATGAACTGCTCTTGTACCATATTTAACTCCAAAACATTGTTTTTGTCGATGCAGGAATGCTTCATGATTCACGGGATTGCTACGCGTTTTTGGTAATAGGTCCTCTTAAAAAAGGAGACTGAGACACGCCAGACATTCAGAGGGCAACAGCACAGCGGTTAGAGACGTGAGCCCTGGGCTAAAGCCTGGCTGCGCCACTCGTAAGGGGGCTCTGGACAAGTCACCGAACCTGTCTGTGAAGCAAGCTCGTTTACTCAAAGGAAGTAATAATGGCGCGACCTCGTAAGATGGCTGGAAGGATGAGATGGCTTGAGTCATGTAAAATGTAAAACACACTCTGGCACGTAGTATGCACTCAACAAATATCAAGTATTACTATTGACCTTCCTAAATCCCAAGACACCACAATTCATTGTAAAAAAAATAATCTCCAGATGAAGGTAAGGTTTCACCTCTGCCACTGACTGTGTGAATGCGCGCGGGAACTGAAGCTCGTGGGCCTCCCAACTGTCGTGTCGTGAGGTCCTTCCCACGGCTGACTTCTCTAAGCCCACCTCCAGGGGAGATGTTTTGAGGAACAACTCAGTACAGGATAAAAGCATCCCAGGTAATCTCTTCAGAAAAGTGGTTTTCTATTAGACAAATTCTATAATTTCATTCTTTTCACAGAAACCTATGCCAGTAAAGGGCTCAGCATTTTTGGTGAGGTGGGTAGTAGAAATGTGAATGTCACAGGTTTCTGGAAACCATGTGGTCCTGCAGGCAGAACAGTGGAGGGAGGGACAGGCAACTGGATGGTCTGCATCTGATGAAATACTACAGCATCAAGGATGTCCAATACTCATGGCTTTCCTTCACACATGGACTCGTTTCATGATTTTGGCTTCAGTAGAAACAACCCCATGGCCTCTGTCTATCTTGGCAATGTTTTTTGTCAGAGCAGATCATGCCCTTGGTGATCAAACCTCAAGAAATGAAAATGAACAGAATTGGGGGAAAAGAGTGGGATCTGCTAGCTATTGTCTCAAGGGACTTGGGACAGAGCCACCAGCATGGAGCAGAAGCTGTCATCACCACCATAGTTCTTACTCAGGGGTTGGCTTCCTGTTAGGAGGCCAAAAAGTCTGTGTGGTTCTCCAAACAGTCCACATATTTTCTCCTAAGAGAAAAATCCCAATCCTACTAAACCTCTGAGTTTCTCATGGAGTAAAACCTAAATACTCACTTGGGTCTTGGGCACATGGACAAACATTTAGTCATAGCAACACGGAAGTTGGCAGTCCATTGTTTCTGCAAACTTTTGGCCAAAGCTGGTGACTTCAGGGTTATTTATGTGGAGATTAGAAGTGTAAAAATATATTCACTAGTGCACAGTAAAAGTATGAATGGTCAGAGAAGGATCCACCATTTCCTTTCCCACTCCTTACTTCTTCACCCACTGTGACCTAGCTTCTGCTCCACCCACTGTCATGGACAAGGTCACCAGAGAGTTCCCTGGTGGTAAGTCCAATGGATAATTGTCTCAGTCCTCATCCTACTTAACCCTGCAGAAGCATCTGATTCTGGGACAGTTCTCTTCCTCTGGTTTCTGGACTACAACTAGAGTGCAAGTCTCCCAAGACCAGGGCCATTACTCAAGGCAGTGTTTCTCACAGTGCTTGGAGAAATGCTTGCTCACAACAGATACTCCATAAATGTCTGAACAGAATGTCTGAAATGTCTGATGACCTGAACTTTCCTGGCTCGTCTGCTTGTCTCCTGTCTCTTTGGCTGATCTTTTGCAGGACTCTCTCCTTCCACCCACTCCTTCAGTGATGAAGTTCTTCTGGGCTCTTCTAGATATCCTTCTCTTCTATTCCATATACTCATCCTGGGTGGCCTCAGCCACTTCCCTGTCTTTGCTGATCATCCTTCCTGTGAGGTTTTCCAAGCCCCTTTTTTCCCCAGCTGAAACCCTCCCTGGAGCCTTCATGCCTACGGACCATCCCTGCTCTAGTGCCACACTGACTTTTCGAACCCCTCCTCTCACTCTGCTCCCTCATTCAGTGAGTGGAACCAGCACCCTCCCGACGGTCCAAACCAGACATATAGGCGTCCTTCTGAACCCCGCCCTGCCTCCACACATACTCCCTGGCACTGTTCACCTCCCACATTGAATCTTCTGTGGCTTCTTCTTCCCAAATCTCCCTAGAATCGATCCTCTTCCACCAACCCAGCTCAGGACACCACTCTATCACGGTTATTTCAACAGCCTTCCCAACTGGTATGGCTTATGTCACCCTCCAGCTAAAGCACCAAGTGCTCCCCCTCTGCCCCCTTGCCCAGGGTGCTTTGTCTCACCTTTCCCTCTAGCTAGCTCTTCCTTGTCCTTCAGGGTTCCAAACATTACCTCCTCCAGGAAGCCCCCCCTTACCCCCCGAGCATGAGTCAGGTGTACATGCTCTCTATTAAACTGCTTATTACATGATAACTCCTTGCCTATTTTAATATCTGTGTTGCCTGCTAGATGTGTCATGTGGATCCTTATTTTAGCCCCTAAAGCTAGGATGGTAACCATGAAAAAAATTTACAAATACTTCTGAGTGAACAAAGAACAGGAGATTTCCAAAATGTAAAATTCAAATCCAGACAGAAAGAAAACATTCTAAAATCATAATTTAGAGGTGCCTGGGTGGCTCAGTCGGTTAAGCATCTGCCTTCGGCTCACGTCATGCTCCCAGGGTCCTAGGATCGAGCCCCATGTCGGGCTCCCCAGAGAGCCTGTTTCTCCCTTTCCCTCTGCCTACTGCTCTGCCTACTTCTCTCTCTCTGTCAAATAAATAAAATCTTTAAAAATAATATAAACTCATAATTTAAAGACAAAACAGAAACAAAAATCCTGAGCCCTGCTTTCAATAGTTTGGTCAAAAAACTTGCCCAGGTGATGAGCAAGGGTGTAACTGAGAATTTCGAGGTACTTTTTGTCTAAGCAAATGCGGATTTTGGTCAGTTTCGATTTCCATACAGAAAGCTACTTCCCATCGCTTCATCAAACCGATTTCAGTTGAATCTGTCTATACTCTTGCATCATAAGCCAAATGTGGTTCAAATATCCCCCGCTGTCCAGTGACTCAGGAAAAGAAAAGATATAGTTTCCACATGCTTAATTCTTTCGTCAGAAGCCCTCTCACCCTGTCTTAGAGCTGTAAAGGAGTTTGAAGCTTGTCCGAGCCAACCCTTTTCCAGGTGAAATTGAAGCTCAACACACTCACTTTAGGAGTGGCGTGGAAAGGACTGGAGCTCCCGACTACCCATTGCGGGGGCAACTGGCATGAGGACCCTGGGGGCTGACCGGGAGTCACATCTGGATCCCGTAACCGCATAGGTGACTGTGCTTTCAAGACCATGTTGCATGCGGAATGTTTCTTTCAACCACACATAAAACTAACAGAACTACTTCAGTGCCCAACAGAGAGTGTGGGGGAGCTCAAGGCAGGAGCCTTCTCAGGTCAGTGCCGTGCTTGTCACTGGCGCAGCCGAGGGGACAGGAGAACCGCCGCTGGAAGGTGGGAGAGGAAGAGTGGACCGGAGAGGACCGCAGCAGGGATGAGTCAGAGTACTCACCTTTTCCTTGTCGCTGGCTTCTCTGGCCACAGTGGAGCCCTGAAACACAAAGACCATCATGAAAACATCGGGTGTCACACGTGGAAAATACGCAAGTGTGTCAGGCCAGAGCGCAGAAATAAACAAGCGCCCCCTTGGCCCTGGAGCCGTGCCTTGAGGAAGCTCTGTCCCCTCCTTGGTCACAACATTGCCCCAGGGGCACTCCCCCCTCTGCAGACATTCCTGCTGGCTCATCTCCAACCCTTTCCCTGGCTTGTCATCCAAGCCGGATTCTGGTTCTTGTGTCCCTGGTGGAAATCAGAAAACCTGACAATCACTTGAACAGTAATGTTTGTTTGTTTGTTTTTTTAATGATTTTTTTTTTTAAGAGACATAAAAAAGGTGGGGGGTTTGCAGCGGGAGAGGGAGAGAGAGAATCTTATGCAGGCTCCATGCCCAGCACCAAACCCGAAGCAGGGACTCGATCTCACAACCCTAAGGTCACAACCTGCGCCAAAATCAAGAGTCAGACACTTAACTGACTGAGTCCTTGCGGGCGCCCCTTGAAGGATAACTAACTTATTAACACCAGATCAAAACCATGCTCTGCTTCTTGCCTCGATTGCCAGAAATGGTTGGCCTTACATCTTCAAAGGTGATGTGGGCCATCCGTGGCTGCAGGAGCCACCCAGGCATTAGATGCCCCCTCCCTCCATTATATCTTCCAGACGCGGGCCCGTCCTGGCCCTCCGCCTGCCCTTCTCCCCTGTCAGGGTTACTGATGGACATGTCCTCACTACTCTGAGTTAGACCCTGTGGGCCCTTCCTGTCCCCCTACGCTCTGGGAATCCCTTCAGACATATATTTTCTCGCACCCCGCTTTGTGCCAGGCCTTAGGCTGAGCAAAGCACAAAGATATCAAGGGGAAGAAAACACGCTTCTTGATCTGCATAACTCTACTCTGCTGCACTGGTTTTCAAAGCCACACACACCTCAGAGCTCTGAGGTTGTGCGAGAAACGCAAGCCCACCCAGACGCCAACAGGGGCATGCGGTAGAGCTCAAGAAGGGAAAGATCCCCTTGTCTGGAAGATGTGGATCGCCAGCAATGTCAGTAACAACAAGAATTTCTTCTTTGTGCTCCTCAATGTATCTCACACAGCAATGCCTGCATCCCCCAAATAAATGGCTGGAGAAGGATCACGACCACATCACCACTCTCCCCTCCCCCATGGCGCTGGCCACCCCAGCAAGCCCAGGTTAGTAGAGTGACATGCTTCCCTGACCACCTCTTAGATGGGCATTTATTGCCCTGGAAGCTGAGCATTAGCCGACTATGAAGGGAGTCCCCCCCCCCCCCCGCCACCTCCACCCCCACAGGTCAATGTTCCATCCCACTGGTGGTCAGCATCCCCAGAGACCTGCTGTCAGCCCCGGGGAAATGCTCTGAGTTTCTGGGGGATGCATCAGAGGGGCAGAAAGCTGATCCACGAAGTGATGAGGGACAGTGTAAATTGTTCATGAGGGGAAATGTGTGGTCCCGTTGCACAACCAAAGCCCCCCCCAACCCCACCCCACCCCGCCTCTGGCCCACACAAACCCAGCAGCTCCCACTTGTAATGGTTCGTTTTCCTTGTTTTAAAGGGATTTTTGAATACAGACCACAAACATCTTCCTTTACACACTGATTTCTAACAAAATGCTTCCAGATTAAAAAAAAAAAAAAAAAAAGACAGGATAGTTGCAATATTTGAGCACTGTCTGTGCTCCTGGTCAGAGGAAGAAACTACTTACTCCTCTTTTTATCTCTAGCCAAGTTTCTGGTCCCTGTGCGCTTTCCCTCCTGTAGTAAAATTTACCCTGCTTCTGATTCTCGGTGAAGCTTCATCTCCATGTAAATGCGGATCATTAGCATAGGGTGTGGGGGCGGGAGGTGCCCGGAGCTCACTCAAATTTAAATGAATTCAAAATAAAAACTCAAACAGAAACAGAAAATAAGGTTAGTAAGTCAAGGCCAAGAGTTTGAGCCATGAAATGATGCCAGATGTCCACGTTCCATCACAACCGAAAAGTACTGGCAAGAAGAGAATTTATTCTACAAACTAAAAACTGGAGATGAAATTAAGGAAGTCTGAGGTAAATTAAAACTATACTATCCAGTCTAGAAGTATAATTTACATCAAGATATATTTCCTAGATGCTTGCTTGAACAAGACACTACCTTAGGGGCATAAAAAAGAAAAAGGACCAAAGATTTGCCTTTAAGGCACTTACTAGTAGAATGGATGAGTCACTACCCAAATTCATTGACCAGTTCCAGTAGGCCACACATTACCGGGCATGACATACGTGTGTGCGCGTGCGCACAACTGAATCCTCATAACAACCCAGCAAAGGTAGGTATAATTATCCCTGTTTTACAGATGAAGAAACAGAGTTTCAATAAAGTTCAGCAACCCACCCACTGCTAACAAGTGATAAAACCAGGACAGGTGCTTCAGAGTTCTCTCTGGCTGATTCTGTGGGGGAGTCAGACCAGTGAACAAAGTCCCGTAATGCTCCACAGAGTCATTCCTCTAAGCAGCACTGCAAAGGCTTCATGAGAGAGATGGTATCCAAGAGCCTTGGAGAGTGGCTGGAATTTCCACCAGGGGCGATTCCAGGGGACAAAACGGCCTCAACTGGGAGGCAAAACAGAGCAAGGCTGGATCTGGGAAGCTTCTGCAGTTTATCTGAATTCCAGAGAGAAGGAGATAAGCCTAAACCAAAAATTCCTCCCTTAGACTACTATTCTCAAAGTGTGCTCAGCATCCTGGGGTTCCAAGACCCCTTAAGAGCTCTGCAAAATCAAAACCACCTTTCTAATAATATTGAGACATTATCAGCCTTTTTTCACTGTCTTGATATTTGCATGGATGTTACAAAAACAATAGTGGGTAAAATTGTTGGCAACTTAGCACAAATCCAGTGGCTCCAAATAGTACTAATAGAGTTTGTCATAAAATACCTACAAAATATACATTATATATAAATGTCTAAAACTGTCCTTGATGAGGCAATGAAATTAGTAAATCTTGACCACGGAGTACACATCTCTTCAATATTCCTTGTGGGAATATGTATAGAATGCTTTTGTTTATGAAGATGGAATGTTATAAGAAAAGTCATTTTTGTGATGATTTGAGTTATGAGCTCAACTAGCCACATTTTTCATTAAAACATTTTTACCTGAAAGAACAACTGGCAATCTCTTTACTCAGATCTGGGCGTTTGGTAGATATTTGCTCAATAATAACGAGCCGAGTGGGGCTCGGCATGTGCGGGGGAGGTGTGTGCTGGCATTTTACAGAAAACAGCTCACAGGGCTGGTTGCCAGTGGTAAAATTTGGGCTTTCAAGTGGAAATCAGAGTTTTTAAGAACTTGTATCCACCACCGTGAGCATGAGAGCTTCTCGGTATTTAAAGACTTCTTGGATGAGACTTGTGGTGGTATTAATGTGACTTCTCGATATCGCATAATGAGATGTGTCCATATTTAGAAGACCACATAATTCAATGAACCCATCTGTTTCAAATGATCAAAGCTTGTAAACAGACCAGGGGGTTTTAATGAAATAAGTACAGCAAGTTCACTGATGTGATTTCTGATTCCACATTGTAACTAAGCTTTGAGAAATCACCTTTTGTTAGGTTTTAGCATAATATCAAGGAAGAATATCCATAAATTTCTGAAAAAGTTATTGAAACACCCACCCTCCCATTTTCCAACTATGTATCTGTGTAAGGTCTTTCTTCATATACTTCAATCACATAACATTGCAACAGACAGCACAACCAGATAGGACATTCCAACTGTTTCATACTAAATCATATCATTAGGGAGATTTACAAAAATGTAAAGGAAAAAAAAAAAGGCCACCTGTCTCACTAAATTTTTTTACTTGTAAGATACAGCTATTTTTCATAAAAATATGTTAACATGTAATGCTTTTTAAAGTTGTAAATAAAGTAAGCATTTAAAAATTTCTTATTTTAATTTCTAACAATGTAAATAGCAGTAGATACAACCTATATAACCAAAAGCTTTTGGGAGACCACTTTTTAAAAAAATTTTAATTTCAACATAATCAGCATATAATGTCATAGTAGTTTCAGGTATACAATAAAATGATTCAACAATTCTATACATTACTCAGTGCTCATCTGGACAAGTGCACTCCTAATCCCCTTCACCTATTTCACCCATCCCCCACCCACCTCCCCTCTGATAACCATCAGTTTGTTCTCTATACCTAAGAAAAATGGGTTTTTGTTTTTGTTTCGTCTCTTTTAAAATTTGTTGGTTTGCGCTGCTTTTTAAATTCCACTTGATTGAATTGATATGGTATTTGTCCTTCTCTGACCTACTTTACCTAGCATCATATCCTCTAAATCCATCCATGTTGTTATAAATGGCAAGAGTTTGTTCTTTTTAAGGGCTGTGTAATATTCCATCATATATGCATATGTGTGTGTGTGTTTGTATACACATACATGTATCTTCTTTATCCATTCACTTATCAAAGGACACTTGGGTTGCTTCCATAATTTGGCTACTGTAAATAATGCTGCAATAAACATAGGCATGCGTGTGTCTTTTCAAATTAGTGTCTTTGTATTCTCTGGGTAAATACCCAATAGTGGAATTACTAGGTCATATGGCAATTCTATTTTTAATTTTTTGAGGAATTTCATACTGTTTTCCACACCAGCTGTACTGGGGATCTTCTTTTAAGAGTGGAGGAGTCTGAGATAAAAATAATCTGAGATCTACTGGCAAAGACCAAAGGGTGGCAAACTTTTCCTGAATGGGTCAGCTGGCAAATGTTTTAGGTTTTGTGGTTCAAAACAGTCTCTGTGTTTCTACTCAACTCTGCCATTAGAGTACAAAACAACCACACTTGATGCAGAAACACTGGCCCCTGCAGTGTTCCAATAAAGCTTTATTTACAAAAACGGCCAAGCTGGACTTGCCAGGCAGGCAGGTCACAGATTGCCATCTCCCAACACCAGCATCCTCCCCTGAAGTCAGTGATCCAAAGACTCAGCTCAGCTCACTCCCCTCAGAATTCCTACACTGTGCCTCTCACCCAAAGTCTTTGAAATAGCCGGTCCCAGGGCCTGTATCCTCTGCCAGGAATGCCCTTCCCTCAGCTCACACCCTCTTTCTTTGGGTCTGCTGCAATATCAGCTTCCAGGGAAACCTCCCCCGACACCCTGTATCTGCTGTATCCTGGCCCCGTTCTTCCCCATCTTTACTTCTATCCACAGCACTTACCCCTTCTTACTATGTTACAGGATTTACTCTCTGCTTTTACTTATTGTCTGTCTGTCCCCACCACAATGTCAGGTCCTTGGGCTCAGGTTTGGTCCATTTTGTTCATCCTACTATTCCCAGCACCAAAACAGTGCCTGGAACCTAGCTGGTGTTCAATAAATAACTCGTTGAAAATCAGACACATTTGCTCCTGACAAGTGTAAAAGTCTTCCAGTAAAGCTAGCAAGTGATCCTTGCGTCCCTCGAAGGCAAGATTTACTAGTTTAGTTGCCTGGTAGCTTTAAGCTCTGAGCACCTCCTAAGTGATTAGCAAGATCAATTACAACAGTTGCTTCATTACTTAATAAAAATGAACAAAAAGCTCACCTTTAAGTCGTATTTCCTATATACAGATAAACGGTGACTGAACACATTTCTTGTAACAATCACGTATATTTCAACTCCATCCACATTAAGCCGGTACATGCCCAAGAACTGGGGAAGAAGGGTGATCCCATGACATTCTACTATGTACTACAGAGGAGAGAGAAAAAGGAAAACATTATGCAATCAAAAGGTGCTCATTCAGATGTAAAGCATAACTTTTCTGCCTTTGGCCTTTAGACAAAGTAAAACCATCCAACCACTAAGGTCCTGTTTACAGAAAATGACCGTGTTTATACTGCCTGACACAGGATCTATGTTCAGCAAGTATACATAGATAAGAAAATTCAACTTTATCTCTGAAGAGATATATTTTCCCAACAACCCAAACTAATCTGTAAAGTCAAAATTTGGATGTAACAGTGTGAGACAAGAGGACAAGTGATTGGTCCATTTGCTAATTCCTCTAAAGGGAAATCACACTCTATCGAGGGCCTCCCCCTTCCTCCCCAGAAGCCTGGGTGATGACTCTGTGAGGCTGAGGGAGAGTCACTTGGCCACTAAGATCAGCTCCTTTAACAGTGTTATGAAAACCACAGCCCTGAAGCTGTGATTAAAGAGGAAACTGTGGAGAGAGCTAAGCGTTTGAAACTGGGACAGTCCTCTCTAGTCCTAATTTATGTTTCTCACCCACCACACTAATGTATTGAACTACTCTGCCTGCCAGAGCAGCAGCGTGAAGGGAAGGTGCCACGCTACCCCAGTGCTTGCTCCTGCTCCATGGACAAGACGAGGTACTCTGGCCCCATGTCGGATTTCATCATGGCCGTTGGACAAGTTCTAGCTTTGACACCATTTGTGATTACGGTTGCAAAAACACAACGCAAGTCTTGAAGCACTGATGACCATCCTCGAAAGGGCCACGAGAGGGAGACACATCTCCTTTGAAAGCTGATATTTATAAAATGGGTCCCACTGCACTCTCCAAAGGAAAGTTGGGTTTTCCTTTCTTTAAAATGAAAGGGGAGAGACTATTTCAAAAGAGCTCTTTTTTGTCCTCGACAGGTGTGTGAATAGCATGAGCAGCATGATTCCAAAATTGTAAAAATTGTTAAAATCACACATGTTGTGCATATTTACAGGGAGCAGCCTGGAAGAATGGTCACCAAGTGGTAATGGTGGGATCTGGGGTAATTTCACTCCCCCCCGCCTTTTTGTAAATTATACCGCTTAAATTTTTCCATTTTTACAACGAGCATTTTACAAAAATAAAAATAAAATGCCCTTTCAAACTTTTTAGTGGTAAGCATGGTTAATAATCAACTCTGATAACATTTAACCATCTTAAAGGTCAACAAAGCCCTCAGTTTTTGTCATTAAAGATGAAGAGCATTGGTATCTGAGTGTGACACTTGTCACCCAGTGCTGGCAGGTTTTAAAGGTGCTCTTGGTCTTTTCTAGCACACCAACCATAACTGAGCTACACGTTTTAATTTGCTACGTTTCCTGAGTAGAGTTTCATCTCAATTTATTCTTCATTTGAAGTCAGATCAGTAGAACATTTTCTCTTTCTCTCTCCTTTCAAAAAACCCAGGAAATTAACGTGAGGTTTGCTAATACAAAACAGGCGGTGAAGAGGCGTTGGCTGAAAACAAAACTTCTCACATCTGACTTCAAGAAATAAAAAGCGTTGTTGTCCCTCACCTCTGAAGGAAGATGGTTGGGTGAGCCTTCAAAACATGGAGACTAGTGGGGGTCTACACTGCGTGAGCATAGTAGAAAGAAGGTGGATTTGTGAGTTGGGAAGAATGCATGTGCATCCTGGTGCCTCCATGTACCAGCTGTGGGATCTCGGGCAAGTTACTAGAACATTCTTCATCTTAGTTTCATTTTTTGGAAAATGAGCACCATAATTCCCACTGGCAAAGAAAGTTGTGAGGACTAGTATGTCAACCTGTTTCGTGCCAGGCCTGTGCGCTGCACTGCACTCTTCCTCCCTCTGCAGAGAACGGTAGTAATAGTAACGATTATTTTCATTCAACACTCTCATAAGAAACTTCAATGTTACCCCTATCTGTTTGGCCCTCCGCACTCTGAGGCAGGCCGTGTGTAGGTACTCTGGAGGCTCGCAGAGCACGTCTGTTCCACGCTGGTTTCAGTTTGGCTACTCAACCCCTCTTTGTGCTCAGATTATTCTCATTCTGGCCTGTCTCTTACAAATCCTGGCAGCAGAGTAAGTCTTTTTGATCAAAATCTCTGTACCGAGCCACAGAGTGCCTCGGGACGAGTGGATAATATTATTCAGGTAATGAAAAGGATAAAGAAACTTTCTGCACACTGTACAGGAAATCGTCAACAGGGGTTTATTTTCCACGTAGAAAAACACCCACGTAGATTACAATCTACAGCCCCTTTATTTTTAAGATTAAATAAATTACTGCCTATAAAAATGAGATCAATTTAATCTGCATCTCCAAGTTTCTACAGGCGCTGCTTCTCAAAGGCCTGGCTCATCAATGAGGCTCTTAGATGAACACCTTGAAAAATACAGATTTAATAGACTCAAGCTCCTAAGTTTATAAATACGGACGAGACCACAACCCATATTCAAGTCTATCCTATTAGATCCCAGTACTGACGAGCAACCTTGGTGCCAAAGGTTTAGAAAACATTTATGGGTCAAAACTTCGCAGAAGAGAAAATCCCACCCACTGATGGAATTTCTGGGGCTCTGGGAAAAGATGACACGGTTTCATTACAGTAGAAGGACATTCCACTGGCTCTGGCAATGCCAGGGCTGGCGGACCGCCACTCTAGCATGGCCTATCACTGCGTGGGGGACTGGCACAGAGGCCTGAATGTTCACCCTCTCGGGTTCTGCACTTGCTGTCCCTGGAAATGCTGCACATAAACTCTGACACCAGGTGTCACATCTGCAAACCACACATGTGAACTACCGGGGTAATCCCAGTAATCCCACATCCAGGGCGACTGTAAATTCACGGCCAGAGCTTTAGCTGGGCCCTTGGCATGACTTAGCCACATCACGGGGCTAGGAGCCCTCTCGGTCCAGGTCCACACTCACTAGCTGTGCATCCCTCGGTCAATTATTCAACCTCTCTGTGCCTCTGCATTTGGAGAAGAGGCGTAATGACAGTAATGAGGGCATAGGTTTTTGTGAAGAATATGAAGACCGGGGAAACAGGACTGAGAGGGGCACTAACTGCCCATGACTTGAGCTGGAACAAGATGAAACCAAGACCCTGGGGTGAAGGGTGGAAAAGGAAGCAGGGAGGGAGGGACGGAGGGAAGGAGAGAGACTTCCTAGAGCATCTGATGTGTCCCTAAAATGCTGAGAAATTCATTTGATTTTTTTTTAAGTTTTTATTTATTTATTTGACAGACAGAGATCACAAGTAGGCAGAGAGGCAGGCAGAGAGAGAGGAGGAAGCAGGCTCCCTGCTGAGCAGAAAGCCCGATGCGGGGCTTGATCCCAGTACCCTGAGATCATGACCTGAG